CAGATTATGACCATTAATTTTAGATGATTATTCTTAACAGAAATATTTGTGCTAATGGTACAATTAACTCACATAAACAAAACTATATCCAATCTTAGATAAACATGGAAAACAAATATTTAGTGGACTTATTAACAATGTTCCCATGCAAATGCAGGGTTGGCTAATGTTTTTACATAAACATCATTCTGTTGCATACTAATAAAGGCTATGGAGCAACTGTGAAAAAACAGCTAGAGTGAAGGTTATTTTTTTTTAAGATGGAAAATTCAAGGGTATTCCTATCTTGCTTTACATAGGTTTCCTGGTTGCGGTGTTTTGACACTGGATAGGAGTTGTGGTATGCTACTGGAGTGTAGTAATGAAAAATGCATTAGGTCTTACCACACAAGCTGTGTGTGGACTAATCTACACCAAAAGGTTAAGGAAATTACTTAGATTCCAGGTGACAGATATGTTCAGTGAATAGCCTCAAGAGCCTAAAGCCCGCAGAGTTAAGTTAAAACTGATGTATAATAGCTCAGTGCTGCATATTATTGTAGTAGTACTTAAACAAAATGTCATTAGGAAAAGATCAACATTGCTATAATTTATATCTGAGAACAACAAAGTGAAATCTGGAAACAGTTCATATTTAGAAGAGGTAGATCCAAGATGCAAAATACAAGGCCAGTGCTGGATTTTGAATCTTCAGGATTTTAGTCTCTTCTGAACCAGTTTTAGTGTAGGCCCATCTCTTTTCAAAAGCAGAACTTTGCCTCCTTGCTGCCTCACCACCTTTCTAAAGTCCTTTAAAAATCATTTTCCATGTGTGCAAGGCAGTTCAATGGCTCATTGGGTAAGCTATCCTACAAGTGTTTGAATTTACAAATCAAGGGGAATGTTATGTCATGTCTCCACAGCTAAAGAATCTATCTGACTGCCACAGAAGCAGAAGTTCTGTTGTATAGGTTGGTCTGACTGCATGCTGCAAAGTTATACCATTCACTGGAGATGGGATGAATATATTACTACCTGGATCTGCTAGCTGTTCTCCCCACCGCATTAAGGAGGCCCTAGAACTATAGTAGGAACTAAAGTGACCCTGTAGTCAGTACGTGTGTGTCATAATTCCTTATCTCAGAATGTACACAACCTAGTAGCTCACTCCACACTGATGTTAGACTGGGGTGGGCAAAATTCAGCCCCAGGCAGGTTCTGGCCTGCCAAGTTATTTGTCCGGACCACTGTGGGTCCCTCGGTACTGTCCAGTCTAGGTGCAGAGGACAGCCTGGGCCATGGCACATGCAGCCAATCCTGCTGCTATGAGGCATACAGCTGGGCTGGGGTGGCGCAGCAGCTAGACTTGTTTTGGCTCTCCTCTGTGCTCGGCCGGGATGGGGCCATGGGTGGGGAGCAGTGTTTAGGAGTGGGACGGGTGGGCGGGGCTGGAGCTGGGACTGTAGGGTGGTGACAGCATGGGGCTCTGGCCCCATGATCCCAGCCCCACCTGCCTGTCCTGCTTCTGGATGCTGTACCCCATCCACAACCCCATCCTGGCCAAGCATGGAGCAGAGCTGAGATCTGCTGCCCGCACACCCCTGCAACAGGCGCCAGTTGTGTGGGCAGAGGCATGCGAGAAGCAGATCAGGCTCTGCCCCAGGCCCCAGCCCCATGCTGTCAGCACCCTGCAGTCCTGGGGTCTCCATGCAGACTGACTGGGACCATGCAGGCAGGGTGTGCAGCCAGGCAGATGGGATGGAGACACTTAAGGAGTTTTGGTGAGCTGTTGTGCAGGGCTGGGGGGTGAGTGCTGACCCGGCCTGCAACAGTTTACCAAAACTCCCTATGTGGCCCATGAGCCCAAATAATTGCCCACTCCTGAATTAGACTCTAGTTCATATGAGGTACCTTGCTCTGGGACAAAGGCATAGGCAGTTTATTGAGGGCCTAGGTCAGGGGGGAGAGAAGATGATGCCTACCACTATAGACAGGTTGGAGGAAGAGAGGGATGGACACATGGATGTAGATGATGGAAAGGGAAGGCTTTTCTTTACAGGGTATTGCTGCTGCTGCCACTGTCATAGCAGCATCAACTCCACTTCAGTGGTAGCAGCCCCATGCCCAGGCTCCCTGTGAGATGGTGTCTTGTTTGCTCCCTCCCCACTCCTCGCATACATATTGGGCATGGGGCCACAAGGTTACCCAGGGTGGGAGTGGGGAACACCATTCCACTCCCTCCATTCTCTCCCCGCAGATACACGCTTAGTGAGGTGCGCTGTTCTCCTTGTCCTAGTTATGCTACTGCTCCGGGAATGCTCATTTGCGTAACATATCATGTAGTTCTTTAGGCATCTCTAGTGCTCAGAAATAAGTAAAATTGTGGAAAGCTATGAAATGTTAGCATTTTGACTTATAAAGCACAAAACCAGAGAGAGCATATGACACACTATCTGATTTGTGTAAAGCCATGTCTAATACTTGATGATTACTTTGACATTTGCTTGTTTTAAACCTAAAGCCTCTATATTTGGTGGGACTTGTTTGAACAAATCAAGGGGTGTTAAATGGACCAAAATACTGCTGAAAACCTTTAAAACTTTTTACCTAGATCATACAGTGGTTGCTGGCTCATAATGTTTTCTTGATGAGCACAACTTTGGTTTTCAATATCTTGGCAAGCTATGAGAAGCTTGTGAAAGAAGTTAGATAAACCAGTGCAGCCTAAAAAAGCTTGCTAAAAATGTAGCATTTTAAATGTCTGAATTCAGTTATAAACTGAGAGTCAGATTCTTGAATAAGTATGATTATTGTCAGGTGTAAAGGCATAATGGAAATAACCACATATAACATGAATACAAAACTTCAATTTATGCAATACACACAATCCTTATAATACTTTGAATCATTTCAAATGATTACAAAAATATATTTGTCCTCATCACTTCCATAAACATAAGAGAATACACAAGGAAAACAGTATGCTTGCTTAAAATTATGTAAAATGGGTGCAATGGAATGGAAAACTAGATTAAGGAGACCCATATTTTATATTATCATCTAGTTCTTCACTATCTTAACCCAGTGTAACCCTTAACATTAACACCTATCCACTAAGGCTGTATTGAAGTTAATGGAATTACACAGGCACAAAACCAGCATGGCAGAACAGAGAAGTAGGCTCTCAAGATGCCTGTACATGTGCTGCGGGGCTGCTCCAATGTGCTGTAATTACTGCATGTTGAAGCAAACTCTATTAATTGAGCATGTAGCTATTAATACAGCTCTCCAGCCAGCCTCCGCGTCTTGTGTATGCTTCTGCCTCTCCGTGTTTCAAAATGGTGGTGGGGCTGCTTGAACGAAAGCTTATTCAATGAACTTTAGTTCAAGTACCCCTACTGACATTTTGAAGTGTGGGGAGCTAATACATGAGACACTGTGGCGCTTTAATTAGACTGCTCTGAGAGCCAGTCTAATTAAAGTACCTGCCCCCTCCCCCTCTGAGCATGTGTAAAAGTGCCCTCAATGTTTAAAAAAATAGGACATTATTATATGTGGCAAATTTTTAAAAATAAAGAATGGGTTGATTCTCCATCACCTATAATTTGTGGAGTTATTCACAAAGTGAAAGTGCAAAGTGAACACAGAGTGTTATCAAATCATAACGATGGTATTATACACCCACTTAGCACTGGTGCAAGTTATTTCATGAAGTATAGAGAGTAAGTAAATCAGGTCCACATAGATGAAGAAGAAAGGGGTACTGTTGCTTGAAGAAAAACACTGTAGTAAAACTAACTGTTAACAGACATGAATTTGAAATGTCTGTGTAAGCATAATGGGTGGAGAGACATTATTCTTTGGCTGTTATAACAAAATATTGTGGTGCTGAAGGTAATAATAATAAAAATCAGAGACTAATTACTGTTCCCTTTTTCATCCTAAAGATCTGCACAATCTTTCAATATACATGGGGTTATATGCTGCAGAGATGATATGCATAATTAGGCTGGTTCACTCAAACATGGGTCAACCCACTTCACAGGGCCCTTAGAAAGTTTAAAAACCAGGTTGCTTCTATCAAGTTCTCCATTAATGTATTATGATTTATTTAAATTAAAAGCATGGTAAAAACCTGGACTACCTTTATCCTAGATTTATGTGACATTAAGAATTTGTATTTCATAGAATTTCATTTATAATATTTGCAGTTTTTTAAAGCCATTTAACATAATGCAAATTTTACTTAGTTTTTGTTGTACCCTGCTTTGATTCCAGCTCCATGCAAAGTTGAAAAGGCTGGTGGCTTCAGACTGGATTCCTGTCTCCTATTTGAGATTCTCCTGTGGCTCATGGTTCTACCCAGGGTGATTGCCTACATCCCAGTCCCTTACAGACCTCTGCTTCCTTACCTGCCTGCTCTTGATCCCCCTTACTAGATACCACTCTTGCTTCCTTGACATTGTCTGTTTCTGACTCTCTGGATTGTGACCCTCTAGGGTCAAGCCCTGACTGCCTACATCTCAGTCATACCCCCACCACTGGGATTGGAAAGTCAGACAGAAGCATCCTAAGAGGCTTGAGGGGCACTTCATCAGTTTAAAAACATATTTGTGTATATGTGCATGTGCACTTGCAGGTGCATTAAATGTTGCTTTTTGCTATAAAGACTTCACTCTTGCTCATAATACACCAAAAGACTTCTTCTACAGATAGATCAGGTATAAACACTGGCACAATCCAGAGTCCCCCTGTAGTCACAGGTTTCACACTTCACATGTAATGTAATGTTTTCCCCAACAATCCAGAGAGCAGAAATCACCAAAAAATATAATTTACGTAGAGGGCCTTTTCTGCAAGAAGTAGATTAAAAGATAGCGCAGTTTACATTTTCATCATGTAGCATCACTTACAGCCCTAAACAGTGTACTATGGAATTCAGTTACATTCTGTCTTGCATCTTTTTAACAAAGAACATGATCTTTAGTTTTCAACTCCTGAATTGTGAAATATATTTTTACCATTAGCAGGAAGATAGGTGAAAAGCTGGTACTGGCTTCTCTTTCGCTTTCCATTGCAGACATAGAAATTGACCTGAACAGGACTGGTTATCCTCTGATTTCGGAAAGGTGGGATCTCCACAACCAATGAATTCTATCAAAACAGACACATGAGAAAATCAGTACATAGCTATGACAGATTTACTGCACATTTATATGTGTGCATCAACATTTGCAAATTTCACTACTGAGCTCCCAAAGAGGAATATTGTCATGGCATACCCACTGATAGGAAAGCCTGTAGCTTAGATTTCCTTTTGTGATCTTTTTGGTTAGAGGTCCCTGCAGCTCGTTCTAAATTTGTTTTTCTTCACCCATGAGTTTGTTGCAGTCAGAAGCTTGAACACAGGATAAGCAAAGCTGTACCAAAGCTATGGGGTTTGTAAATATTAATTGCTCTGGCCTTATACTTCAGGGGTTATTTTCAGGGTGGTGAGACTCAGGTTGCACACTACTGGGTGATATTTGTTAGAAGAGGGTGGCTGAGAAAGCACTACATTCTAAATGTCTGTGCTGCTCTAATGTCCTAATACAGGTACCATGGGATGAACAGTTTGGCAAGGATGCCTACAACTATCTCAGGTGGACTGGCTTTCAAGGGATGAAATGCAGGGTTGGGATTTTAGCAAGGACTGGTAATGTGTCAGTGTACAAGTATAATTCTGACTGATAGTGGTGTATTGTTCCCAGTGCCAAAAACCTGGTATATGCCAAGGTACTCTACATTATGGACAACTTAAACATCTCTCCTTAGCACTCAACTAATTCTTTTCCTTTCCACATCAGTCATCTAGCTTTTTGTTTTCACCATCCTGAGCATGGCATTGCTAGGTCCTTCACTTGCTCCCCAGACAAAATATTTAAACCCATGTACCCGAAGTCAGTGTTTGGTTAGATTCTTGAAAAAAAAAAAGCCTGATTTTCAGCAGTATTCAGCATTTCTTTCATTTCCTATTCAGGGATGTCAAGGTGGATCTTAAGCCAAGATTTAACAGAAGAAAATGTAATAGCTTCAGGAATAAGTTCAAGGGAGGGACTTGCCTATATAAGGGCGAGCCCTGGAAGACAGCCTAGGGACATTTGTGTGAATTGCTAATGAAGGGAAAGACATGGCTCTTTTCATTGATGGAACTGGGAAGGTCAGACACAATAGTGTTCAAGCTGGCAGGAGCTGAGATTCGTGAAGGGCCTCAAATGTGAACACAAAAATGTTAACCTTGGTGCAATGAAATTGCCCCATTCCCTTCAAAAAAGGGCTTCCAACCTTGTCTATTTCAGGGGAAGAAGACTGTCTTTGAAAGCTCTCTGCAGGAAAAGAGTGCTAGAGAAATGTAGCATTTTTCTTTACTTTGAAGTTAAAATATTTAGGCATACTTACTGGCTTACACATTTCTTTGTCAGTTTTGGCTTCCATTTCCCACACATGGTGACCATCTAGGAGAAAAAAAAATATCTAGTTCTCTCCTTTAATTTTCCCTTCTTCAAACCTGTGCCCAGTGTTGGAAAGAAGTTACAAAAGTCTCTTTGGATAGTGGCAGGAAGAAAACATAGAAGATAGCTCTGTGGTTGAGTTGTTCATGCTCTGCCCAAGCAAGAAATCATATAAATAACTTGCTGGAAGCCAGGCAATCTCATTTAATTTGTTTATAAGGAAGGGAACATGGGTCAGTGGAGAAGGCACTGGGAAAATAGTAAACAGATTTCGATTGAAAACAATCCAGTACTAGCTTAGGGATACCATATCACCATTCTGTGCCTTTGTTTTCCTACCATTAAAAGGGAGGTATTGCTATTTACCTTCTTGTGTAAAGTGTTTTGAGTTCTTTTAATCTATAATAAATACAATGAGAGCTAAATAGAAATATTAAAAAGGAGCAGTGTTAGTTAGGAAAGATCTCAAATTATATTTGTCCTGGAATGTAAATGTTCCATCTTGAAATGTGCAGCTTAAATGAGTTGATTATATTTCTGCTGACTGGATCAAAAGGGAAAAGCAGTTTTGTGGGTTACATCACCACAATGAAGACAGTGGCAACTAAGGACCTAGCTCTAGTATGTCTGCGGTCCATACCATAGAACGATGGAGCTGCAACTGCTCCCGTTCTCTTAATTCAGCATGTTCAAATGAAATTAATTTTACACCATGAGTTTCTGGGGTTTTCTTTTGAGAAATAAATGGATTGACAAATGCCACTGACAATGAAACAAATGGCCAATGAAGGTTCTTTCTCCCCCAGGGTTTCAAAACTCAGCAGCAGGGAAATGAAAAAAAAAGATAAAATGTAAGGTTTTCATATTGTGAGCTTAGAGAAGCTAAAACATGTATAAGTAGCCACAGGCGCATAGCTGTCTGAGTTTCGCAGCAGGGACACTTGCGGTTTAAGGAGTCCCGCCATCCTCAGACGTCATTGGAGTGAATGGGAAAATTAAACTTGATGTCATCTCTTTTGTATATTTATTGTAGCATTGGGATATACAAATGCAAATATTAGTTATTTTGAACTTTACCACAGAGATGTTTGCATATTTAAAAAAAAAAGCCTCTGTGCAAGGTACCAGTGAATACACTTTTTCTTCTCTCTTCACTTTCATGGCCAGGATGGAGGTGACACATTTAGAACTGTCTGATTTATTAGAAATGCCTGTAAATAATATTTTTGTGTACAGCAGTCCTGCTGTGAAAGGAATGCTGGTGTGGAACTAGGTTTTGGTGATCATTTTTAAGTCTAAAATCATTTCTTTTTAACCAAGAGAAAGACAAACAATGTGAATATCAAAACTCTTCTACCATAACTAATTTGGCATTCTTCTCTGTAAGAAATAATTAATGTACACCCTTCATTTCTTTCTATGTTTTAAATCATACTACCAAGTAAAAATAAACTAGAAAAAGAATCTCTGCAATAGGTATTGCAGGAGTAGGGAGGGAGAAGAGTCAGTCGCACTAGTATTCAAAATCTCTCCAACAGTGTCTTTTAGAATTGCCAGAATTAAAGCTGACTGCTCGAGAGTCCTGAAGATCACTTCACAATTCATCCACCAGATACTTTTCCAAAATTGTTCATAAAAAATTCTGACCACAATCCCACCAGCTGGGACTCTTCTTTTCTCAAAAAAAGAAAAGAAATAATGTGAAACTAAAGTCCAAGTAAGCTTGATCCTGAAGCTATCACAAATTTCAAAGCACTACACATTTTTCAAAGTTATAGTCTGCTCAGGAACTTCTGCATTAGAGATGTTTTTTACCTAGAGAATTCCAGACCAGTAGTTAGTATGTGTTCAATTTGCCTTTGTAAATGGATTACCAGAACTTCAGGGGGGGGGTTTATGTTTAATTTCCACCTTGCAAGATGAATGACCTGATTCAGAATTACCTGCCAATATTTTTAGAAAATATAAGTGATTTTATCTATAAGCTAATCTTTCAATTACCTTAGGCAGCTCTTACCTTTATGAGCTTTTGACATTTTTATGATGACAAAGAGTGAGTTTGATCAGAAACTTTTTAAATGTTCTAATCTAAACTATTATGAAAAAAATAATCCAGAGCTGTGTTTAGTCTTTGGGTATCAACTAGAAGCTAATATGAGCAATAGTTTTTGCTCCAGTAAGAAAGCCTCTTGAGAATGTCCAGACCATTGCTGCTTAAATGAGGGGGGGAAGGGAACAGACGACTCATTAACAGTTAGTGACATTTCATTTAACAAAAACATAAGGAGGAGAAGTTGTTACGAAGCAGAGACAAAAAAAAAAGTAGACAATTCCTCATATTACGTCTGGTGAACCAAGAGGGAAATCTCAACGCCCACGGACTGGGACCAACTCCAGGAGGGAAACCTTAGACCACTACGTCAACCTCTTACAGTAAACATGTTTTGCAGGTTTATATAGTTCAGCTGAAATTAAAAAAAAAAAAAAACTAAAAAAAAAAGGGAATGGAACAATTTGTGGGGGCTCAAAGCATTGAGAAAATCTGCCTACGTTGGAGAAAAGTATTTTTCTTCTCGTGCCACATATGCCCAGAATCCTACCAAGTATGCGGGACACCATCCCTTGTCAGAATGTGCCTGAGGAGTGAGGGCCGATAAACCACAAAAGTTTCCATTGTAAGTCTGCCACATCTGCATTAGCCTGGTTGACTCAGAGCCCAAGGCAACTCCCTGCCTGGCAAAGAGCCAACAAAAGTACACCAGAGCAATTTATACCTTTCCAAAATGCAAATAATTCAAATTACAGACATAACACAAAGCTGAAGCAGACACATTTTAGGCATTCCCGTTAAAGTTTACTCTCTGAAATTACCGTACCCAAATGGGCAGTTGTTATATGAGTGAGAGAGAGAGAGAGAGAGAGAGGAAAGGAGAAAGGGAGAGAGAGGGAGGGAGGAAGGGAAAGAAAACATTCCCAAGGGATAGTTGATTTTTTTTATTTGCTTTTACAAAATAATAATAATAATAATAAATCCCCTCTCCAGATCAAGTGCTTGACATCAGTCAGAGTGTTTACTAACATTTTCTTCTGGTATATTGAAAAAACAGATTTATGTTGCACCCCTCTCTGAAGCTGACATTTTGCTTTTCTTTCTAATTAGGGAAGAAGTACATCAGGTTTTTATTTTTTATTTTGTTTTGATTCTGTTTTGCTTCTGTTGCTTCAATATAGAACATAAGGGGAGAATCCCATTGAAATCACTGGGGTTGAAATCCTTGCTCTATTGAAATCAGTGTGAGGTTTGCCACTGATTCCAGTGGGGCCAGGATTTCACCCTGGGATGTTATAAGGGAGAGGTCTGCCTATACTCAGTGTTGTGTTTGTTTTCAGTGACAGGTGATGATCAGTGTTGTTTTCAACAGAGACAGGATTTTGTCAGGAAGTCTGACATTTAAAGATTGATAACTGGGATGTCCCCTTATTCACAGCATTTTTTATTCTGAGTGCAATTTGTCAGGTTCTGCTTTATCATTTTTTCAGTCCAAAATGTTAAACACCTGGAGTTAGTAAGGATGAAAAAAGCACACACCTATTTCATCAGTATGGGTGGATTTTGAACTTTTCAAAATATAAAAACACATTTCTAAAACAGAACAGCTTAACGGTGAATGGGTCTTTGTAGTTCACTCTTATCAAATGCTCACGGCAGAGTTAAAGGAAACTGTGCTCAAGTCCAGAAGTAAAAATATTCTAATTCATTAGGGAATTCCCTGCAGTATGAGTCACAGAAACGGCTTCCCCACCACACCCAACTACAGAGATTTCCACATGAAAAAGGCACTGTAGGCCTGTTTTAACACAGAAGCAGCATTGAGAAATACTTGCATAAACGCAAGTTATTCGCATATATTATTGTGGATTGTTAAGCTTGATTTTTTTTTCTTCTTAAGGATGTAGGAAACAGATTAGAGACAGGTATCCAGGTAAAAGATTTTTCCAACTTTTCTCTGAGCCTAATCTGCACAAAACGAACTGTTCCACAAAGGAAACTTTACCATACCTTTTGCTCTCCTGTGAAATATGAATTTTCATTTCTACCTAGGAGAACTTTTACAATCTTTACAATCTCCTATGCCAATGAAGGGTGCCTGTGCCTGAAAGCTTGCAAATAAAGAATTTTTTTTGCAAATATCTAGTTGGTTTAATAAAAGATATCACCTCTGCCATGAGTTTTGATTCCTTTTATCTTAGAGGATTTTCAAATAAATGTTCCTGTCTTCTGACCTGGTGGTGTGTGTGAGGACTTACTTTTTAGAGGTTTCTAGGATTGCATTTCCACACATCAAAGAAGTATCGCTGAGTAGCCTACAGGTTTATGCAACTCAAACTGGTAGCTTAGCTTGCATTACAGTTTTACAAGTACACAAAAATTAAAAGGAAGAACAAGGTAAAAAAATCAAAAAAGAACTAAGACCCAGAAAGTCAACAGCTGTTCCTGGCAATCACTTAAATCTCACTTCTGTGAAACAGATGTGATAGGAGAGTTTAATTAATTTGCTTTCTTTAAATAGGTTAAAAATACTCCAACTTCCTCAACAGGTACATTATAACTCAAAGACACAAAGATGAGCAGGTATTATTTAGGACTTCACTACTAACATATCTTGGACATGTTGCCCTCTTCCAGTTTGGCCTGAGACAGAATTTGGCTGAACTGGTAAACTGGGCCATATATTAATGTTAATGTTTTCAAACAAAAGTGCAGCACACATTTTTCAAAAGGAACCCCTTATTTGATTAACTTGTTGCAAGATATTTCCAAATAGCGAAGTCTGAAAATCACAGTTTATCTTAAAATATAGGAGATTCAGAGCAGCATATGCACAATGAGGGAACAAACTGAGACAGTTTTCTGAGTAACTGGGTTACTAAGTCAAGTAAGCTAACATGCATTCAAAGTCTTCAGCGATATAGAATTCACATGTTTTAGATTTATGTTCTAATTCTTTATTCCTTAAGAAGTATGTTTATGTCACTACTTTGACAGAGAGATGATGGATCTGTGATTATGTCCTTAAGGAAAGGATTGGTTTGTTTTCAGGAGGAAGGAATGGATTCAGACCTGCAGTCATTCAGCCTCTTGTTGAGATACCATCAGTTTTCACATTCTAAGCAGGTTGGGCCAGGTCTGCACTTGGGCAGGAAATCTCTCAAGAAAACAAGTGATTCAGAAGACAGTACTCTTTGCTCCAACTCAGTACTGAAAAAATGTATAACTGGCCACAGAACTCTTCTCTGATTCCTCAGGTGAACAGAATTATTCCGTTATACATAAATGAATGCTAATCAGCTCAATAACTTGTGGCTGAAGTTGATCCCTTTACACGGATTGTGTATCAGTTTAAATTTTTAAAGAGCTTTATAGTGGGATGTGCTCTAGCGAATGTGAAAGAATAGTATCGACAACATTGGCTAAGTAATTTGTCTCTAGATGAGTCAAAGGGAGGGGGGTGAGTTATTTAGAACTGCACAGGAGCTCAGAACAAATATTTGCAGCCTATATAGTCAGGACCTTTTTTGTCAACATATTCAATAGTACCTGATCTAATTTAGGTTAATGGTCTGGATCTCCACTAGGAGGGGCTGAATGGCAAGGTTAGCAAATGGAACTCCTGGCATCTATGTAAATCAAATAATGTAGGATTTGCTTGGAGACAGATGAGCATGGCTCCACCCCCACCTTGCAAACTATTCTTCTCCTGACCCTAGCAGCACCTCCCACCCAGGTCCACCTCAAACTACCTGTCTCCTTTGTTTTTTGGTAGTTCCTGTTCCTGCAACAGGCTTGCACTCTGCTCTAATGCCTCATTGGCTGACTTTGCCTCCCTCTGCTACCCAACTTGCCCACTCAGCTGTTGAAGCTGAGTTTCCATTACATGCTTAGTGTCCGGCCTTCCTTGTAACCATTCTGATTCCCTTTTCTGATCATTTTGTCTGCCCATTTGCTCTTCTCACTCCTTTTGTCAAAGGACACTCAGGCATATGATTCCCACTCTCCTGTTTTCCCTCCTTTCTTCCACAGAAAATGCCAGGCAGCTATTCTGTCCTATTGCCTTTTTTTTTTTAAATCCCCTAAAAGGATTCCTACAGTCATTTAGCTTCTCAGGCTAAATATTCCATTGCTTCTTCTCAATTGAAACTCTCCCAACCTGTTGTCACCTTCCAGAAGAATGGCTTTGTTCGGGGCAAAGAAAGAAAGGGTTTTTTTTTTAATAAGTATCTGCACTTTTGGATGCTAAATTCAACTCTAGCCCTAGAAGTTTGTACATACTTGGCTTATAATTATTTTTATAATGCTGAAACTAGGCTTCAGGGGTGGGATTGGTCTTATTCAAACTTTTGCAATGCAGATGCAGAGTATGTGTATGTTCTTCCTCCTACATATTTTCACAGCTTTGAACTGAGTTTTATACAACCATGTCTTTATGTCTATCTGTAACATAAATGCTGGTATACTTTTTGCTTTCAAAATGCTGTTCAAATTTAATTGAAAACCATAAGAAACAGTGTCAAAACCTTGTAATAAAAATCAGATAAGAACCTACACTTTATATGTGCTGTGGAGTATCCAGGTACCCACCTGTAAACTCAGGCTCCATTAAGATTTCTTAAGCTAGCTAAGGAAAAATTGAGATGCCCCTGGATCACAACCTGTGGTAGAAAGTATTGAGTGCAAAGCATTTTGCACTGCCTATAGGACAAATCTAATTTTATTACATGATTTCTAGAAAACTATTTGATTATTTTGATTTGAATAAACTTTTTCAAGGCTTGTGTATTTTATGGCTCTGATAATTAAAATGAAGTTCTGAAATCTGATGGTAAATATGGAATTTTAGATTTATTATCTCTCAGTGGCTTGGGGACAGTGTTTTTCAGGAGTATGTGGCACACTACTCAAGGGAATGTGAGAGGAAAGCAGAAGAAAGGAAAAAAGGGGAAATATAAATAGAGGAAATGGAAGAAAAAGAAAAAAAACTACTCTACAATATTTTGTAGGTCAGAAGTTGGCAGTGTTTTCTGGTGCCAGGCTAGAATGACCCAATTTAGGTTTAATGTAAGCTGGCACTTGGACCCAGCTGCCACTTCTCCCTACCGCCCATCCGTGGTGCAGTGTGGGTGAAGCTCCTGATACCAAGACCCCTTCCACTGAACACTGCCAAACTCCACAGGCCAGATGTTGCCAATCCCTTCTCTTAGATTACTGGAGAGGTTACAGTGTAGTTGTAGTAACATAAATTCTTACTTTAAAAAAATCCATAACAAAGGGGTACACAGCAATATTGTGAGCTACTACTCTAGGAAGAACAGCTTATGTATAAGACTGTACCTTTTTCCCTGAACTATAACTCTTGCAGGCTGTTTCTGGGATATGAACTTCAAGCCAGTACATTCCTTCCTACATAGCATCAACAGCAATAATGACTCTTCATACTAATTGTGTCTTCATTCATATCTGTGCAACTCCTCTGTCTTTAACTTTGCCCTCCCCTGTAATCTCTAAGGGGTTGTCCAGGTATAACCAATTGACTTTCCAATTGAAGCCATGTGAAACAGTTTTGACCCATTTCCCTTGGTTAATCTAGAATCTCAACTTGTCTCTCAAACTCTTCTAATGCAGGTGTTGTAGTTATTTTAAACTTACCACCACCAAAATTGACTCCCAAACTTTCCTTCTAAGAATGATTTATTTCCTTCACTCCATCACGCCTGACAGCATCACCATGAGCTCCTGAGCATTCAGGCCTCCCACTTGGGAGTTGTCTATGGGTGCATCCACATATGCAGGCACGTGCACTCACACCAGCTCATATAGGAGGGGGACAAATTTGTGCTGGAGATTTTTGCCTCAACACACACACCTGGACATGCACTTTGGAGTGGGGCAAGTTGTGCCACTTGGGGTAAAATAACCCTGCCTAGTTCCTCCTGGATCTGCAGCCAGAAGGAGCTAGACCCTGGGGCAGTGCTGGCCTCTGCAGTATAAAAACCTGCCCTGTGCTGGCCCCAGCAATATAAAAACCTGTCCTGTTGAGTAGCTCAGGGCTACTTGCCCTCAGGAGCTTCTGAGGTCCAGCCAGTTGGTATCTGGGGACACTACCCTTTATGCCAATTGGACTGCTGAAGCAGCCCTAACCTGGAGTGGCTCCTGTACCCTCTACCCACTGCAGTAGTTTGGTAGTGGGGGCTGCTGCCTGGCTGTGACCTGCTGCCACCTGCAACAGCATCTGCCCACTTGGACCTGTGGCCCCATGCCTTTGTCCCTGCCAGACCTGGATGGGGTGCCCCCGCTCTGCCATCTGGGCAGCTATCACCCAGAAGATGTGCTCCTTGCGGTGGCCTGCTTTGAACTGTCAAAGCATGTCCTCTAGGCCCCAAATGGCCAAGAGGTCAGCCACCTCATATGCCTTCCAGTTGGGTCCCCAGTGCTGGCCCTGGACAGGATCCTCTGCCTGGGTCTCGCCACTTACCTTACCAGCAGAGATCCTGGTGTTCCCTGTTTAAAAATTGCATGGCATGACATGCGGTCCTGGCGAGTGGCACTGGACCCTGGGTGGCAGCCCAAGTGGCCTAGCCAGGCTGCGTGATGTGGCACAGGCAATGCTGGGTGCCAGGTGGCCGGGGCTGAGCTGCACTTCCCCATGCTGCAGGGGGCGGGGGCTGTGCCAGGAGGGCCCCAAGCACCCTGATGGCCACTGCTGCTGTGGGGAGTGGGGGGACTGTGGACCATGCAGGGGGCAGGCGGGGGACCCACCCCACCCGAGCAGCCCCCTGCACCTACAGTCTCCCGCACCCACACAGCCCCAGTTCTCCAGTCCCTCCCACCCCCAGTCCCTTACTTACCTGCGACAGAGTGTGGTCCTATCACGCTGCAGTCTGCACTGATCCAGCTTGCCCCACATGTGGAAGCAGCGTGCTTCAGCACCAGGGCAAGGGACAGTCATAGAGATGCTCTGGCTGGCTACCAGAGTGTCTCTTTGAAGGACCCCAGCCTCTGGTTGCCTCAGAACATGGTCCTGGACTGTGCGCTGCCCTGCTTTTTTTCTGGGTAGGTTTTTTTATTTTTTGATACCTGGATTTCCAAATATGCAGCACGGAGAACTTTTTTTTGGTCCCAGTGTGCCTCTTGCCACATCTCAAACTGCTTTGAGACACGGCAAGAGACACGTGCAGGCTCATCTGGACTTGCCCTATGACTCCTCTTTTGGTTTGCACAGCCAAGATGGATCAAAACCATGCCAGTTCTTCCTTCATATTATTTTTATTGTAACTAACATGGCCAAATCTCACATCTTCTCCTATCTTAACCATTCATTTTCTTCTCTGGTCTTGCTGACACCCACCATCATCACTTTCTGATCTAGTATAAATAGTAAGTGCATCTCCTTTCCATGGTCAGTGTAAATTTTTTTCTGACTTCCTAGTCCTCCAATTCTTTTATCTCCATAGAATGGCTTGCTCCCTTTATTCTCACAACATCAAACTCAAACCCTTCATCTCCTATTCCTATCTGCCCTTGTGTCTTCTGTTGCCCCACAAATAACACATTTTGGCAAACAATATGTTCTTCTACACTGCTCTTTACATCTGGAATTACCTTCTTGAACCGATAAGGCCACTATTCCTCTTATTCAAGACTCTCTTCTTCTACCATGATATCCACAACAAATTAACCAAGCAAGAATGGTCAGATGGTAGGAAACCACTGATATCTATTTATAAGAAGATGTGCATAATCTCTACAAAAATACCTTATTTTCTCACATACTGTGCACTGCCAGATAAGACACACACCTTGTTTTTACGAACACAGGACAAAGAAAAAAGATTTTTCCAGAGTTGTGCCCACATACAGTGGGGACAGAGCCTAACTTCAGCTGACTCCCCCTCCCTTTTCCTGCTCAGGCAAAATCTACATTTTTAACCCTTTCACAGCTTAATTGTCAGAAACACTTGGCTGTTCAGGCAAAAGCTACCACTATAGCTAATGATGATGAAGATGGGACACAGTAGGTAGAGCTAAGATTTTGAAAAGTGTTAAAAATAGACTGAAGGGTTGTAAAATAGAAGAAGAGAGACCAGAAATAGCTAACAGACAGCAAAATTGGGGGGAAAAGAGAGTTTGCTTAATAACTAGCAGGAATCAAGAAGATTCTAATGAGTCATGAAGTCAATTGACTTCCTCAGCCTGCTTGAGTAGAAATGCCACTGCTGCTATTCCAGGCAGAATGCTTCCCTGCTCTTTAAGACATGCACCTCAATTTTGGAAGTCTAACGATTGGGGTAAAGGTGCCTGCAGAATGCAAGCTAATACAATATTTTCCCTTTCCACCCTTATTAGGCCATAAACTCTTTGGGCAGAGATTGTGAATTCTTAGGCATTTGGATAGTGTCTGGTGTCTGCTGTGGGCCATATTGGAATACAAATGAATAGTACTAGTAGCAGAGCAATGAAGTCGTGTTTTCATTTAGACTACAAATGCACCACAGATAGCAGATTCATGCAAAAAGTGTGTTTTTGACATAGCCTTTTTTCAGAGACATAACACCAGATGTAACCTAAATTTTACAAGAATGCTCAAGCAACTGTTTGATATTTGGACACCTGTGGTGTCTGGGCTTCCTTAAAAATAGTCCTTGTCCACAGTAAATACCTGTACTTGATCAAAGGTATGTAACGACTAGCATTCTTAAATGTGACAGAAACACCCTTGATGAGGCTTAGTGATGATACCCTTGTGTGTATGGCTGCTGTCCTATAGTATCTTTTCCATTTCCAAGGCTAAAGTCAGGAAAATCTGAAACGTGCTGACATTTCCTATGAGCTACGTCATTGCTACCACATGTCTGTGAAAGGATTCTACTATCTAATGACCCCACCATTTCATGATGCTACTCACCCAAGGATATCTGTTTCTGGTCAATGGCCAAAAACCCCTTAGGCTACCAAAGCATTTCTAAGAATGAGGTATAAATGACCTTCACATGAACTTTGTTCCCAACTGATGCCTTTCTAGTCCACCTAGTTTGCAGAAACTTTTAGTCTCACTACACTAATCAGTCTATAAACTCAATACTAAACAGAATGTGTGTCCTAAACTTTGATAAACAAACAGATATAGACAAAATTATATTGTATTTACCCATCTGGGGGGGGGAAGTCTGTCACTTGCTTATTTATTACGTGAGCTATAGTTTGATTACCAGTGTGAAACATGACTCTCTTTGGCTAGTTGCCCCCAAACTGTGACTGCTACTGGCAATGGAAAGAGCAATGGAAAGATCTCTGAAAATGTAAGATCTTTTACCAAATGGACCACTGCCAAGACTCAGGTCACCAGTCTCCCCCATCACATCACATCTCATCAAAACAGATTCTTAAGCTAGAGTTTTCCAATGCACCAGAGTAAAATGAAAAACCTACATACTTTCCCCAAATGGTCACATTCAAAGGCTACTGAAGTATTTCAGGAACATGCCACTTTTCACATCTTTTCTAAAATAGGGGGCCTTACATAACAATATTGCATTTGAAAGCCTGCTATAAGAACTCTTCAAAAATTCTTTGAGCAATATGCAGAAAGCAGAGCTGAGATTCCCCAACAATGCTATATGACTTTAGAAAGAAGTTCTGCCTTGCAGCAGCAATCTGATTTTATTTTTACAGGAGCTAATGAAAATAGGAAAACTTAA